TTCCATCTTTCCAAGGTGGGTAAAATGAGGACCCAAATTGTTGGGGGCAATATGCTGACTCTGTAAACCGCTTAGAGGGGGCTATAAAGCACTGTGAAGCGGTATATAAGTCTAAATGCTATTGCTATTGCTACTGTTTAAGAAGCAGCAATGAATAGGGACTTATAAATAATAAATAATAAATAAAATAAATAATAAATAAAATCTAAAAAATCTAAAAAAAACCTTATGGTTGAAGTATATAAAATATGAGTCAAATCCACAACTCCTGCTCCTTGGCTGACTCCTTGGTATCTTACCCATGACAATGTTCTCTATGAAGAAATAGTAAATGCTACTGAATCATAAGCCAGGTCTAATTGTATGATCCCTGTACTGAAAGACCTGCACAGGTTGCTGGTTATTAAATGGGCTATTTTCCCCATCATGTTGTCCTAACCAAATGAAGCCACAAACACAGCTATGCTTTATAATTAGGAGGTAAAACACAATCTTTATTCCTGAGAGACAAACAGATTGAAATATTAAATGAAAAAATAATAATTCCCCATCTAACAGTCCATTACAGCCTCCACTTGATAGTACTTTTTAAAAAAATCAACATTTAATCTTTTATTGGCTGGAACATTACTCACAAAGTGGAACAATTGCAACCAGGAAGAAAAGGATTTGCTCCCAGTTCCTCACTCATGGCCCATACACAGAAAAAGCACATTACTGGTAGAAAGCTTGTCTCTAATATTCACACAAGGCTTCATAAAGATATGGTGCAATCATGCTTGCCACTTACAATGGCTAAATGACATGCCTACAACTCCAAAATATGAAAGAATGCTGCAGCTAATATGCCATTTCATCTTGATGAGAAGCACCTGGCTTGCTTGAGATATGTTGTGAATCCAGAACCTTTCACGAGGCCGTCTTTGTTTGGCTGGTGCAATTATAAGAAATGCAAACTTTTGTGATGGTATATGAGGAATTATTGAGGGCTTTGAGGTCACCAAGAGTTCCAGACCATTAAACCAGACAAAAGAGCACCTGCAATCTAGACTTGCTTGGAAATGTAATCCCCTTTTTCTCTTTCCTGGTAGATTCTCATTCTTTACTGGGTGTCAGTACTGTTCGTACACTTTTCTTCATGTGATATACTTCACAAAATAGATAAACATGCTGCTTTCCTAGCCAGAATTGATGCAGAAGATTTACATAGGGTGCATATTCTAATTACTTCATCTCAATCCCTGCAGAAACAAGATTTAGATTTCAGCACAAATGTGCTCCGAAATTCATCAAAATTTATCTGCCTCCTTCTCCAAATCTAGATACACTTCTGCCTATGCCTGTCTAATTATCTAATCTCACCCTAACAGTAATTGGTCTGAGTGAGTGCTCTCTTATACTTGCATATTTTGTTTATTCTAGTAGCAGTACAGGGCTAAGGTGCAGGTCTGATTGAATCAAGAAGAGCAATATGGTAAGAAAAGTTTGTAATGCTCAGTACTTTTGCTGTAAAAGTACAAATGTGAGGCATAACACAGGATATTAGTTGATGCATGCAATTTGCAGCAAAAAAACCAAAATGTATTCTTGCACATTTTCCTTCTAAGATGCTATCCAATACTTTGCAAGATTAAATATCAAATTTGCTGGAATAGATTAAGAAAAATGATTTTCCAAAGGCTATTAGCCTACGTTCCTTAGCAAATGGATACTCTTTCATATGCACATTTTCTGGGCCGCATTCTGCATTGGATGCTTATAGTTTCTGCTTAGGAGAATACAAACATGCTGCTACTTTTCTATTTCCAAGCTGTTCTCACCATTATTCATTGTGATAATTGTTCCAATTGGGCTTAGCACTAGTTTTGCATAATCACAGTTTGAAAGATTCAAGTGAGGCAGCAAACCATGAAGTGAACAACAGAACTATTATGAGAGGCAAGGAAAGAGTGTAACAAAGCTGAAGCATATTGTGGTCCTTCAGTCCGTATCTGATTTTAGTTACCAACTGAATTACATACAGCAATAAGCTTTGGAGATTCAGTAAGATACAAGTTGGTGAGTTTTGAAAACATGCTTTATATAAGAAAGGTGGGAATCATCCTCTTTGTCACCATCACCACCACTACCACCACCACATCACCATCCCAGGTCCTTGGGAAGGATTCACTAGGTCAGCAACAATGCCAAATCTAAACATCTGGCTGACCGTACAAACAACTATGTTAATGTTAAGCCATAACATATGATTTATAAATGGTAATGAGTAAGATCTTTAATATATGGGCAGCCAAAAATATTTTAGTTGAGTGCAATATTGAACCTAGACACTATTCAAAACAGAGCCCAGAAGAAATGGGATTTCCATCTGAAGGTGACATATTTACAAAGCTTCATTAAGAGTGATTTCATCTTCCACTTTTAACTCCCCATTGTTTCTTTCATTTCTCTCCCTCTTACACACAAAATAAAATTATAGGAGCAACATGTATTTTGATTGCTGGCTCTAATGAGGCCTCCTTAAGTGTTCCTCTGCAATGGCACTGATGGGCAACATATGTAAGCATGTTTGGAACTCGGACCTCTTGTCTCCAACCTATACAGTGAAGATGATTTTAGCATGCCTCTGCCCCTGGCTGCAAATGCAGGAGAACATAAATATGGTTCTGAAATTCTTGTCATCCCTTAACTGAATACTACCAAATGACTTCACCTTGACCGGTGAAGTCGGTTTTGTAACTTCAACCCCCCCCCCCCAAAAAAAAACCCTGCCTGAAAATGTCACGTGACAAGGAAAGGCCGATGATTCAGCTTGGCGGAGGAAGAAGCTAAGAGAACAAGAAGATGGCAGGACAGAGCCCCAAGAAGCAGCAAGCTTATGAAAGAAGAGGTTTGCATCACTCTCATAAGACAACAATGAATTAACAGGCTACTCAGTTACTTGGAATAGCCAAGCAAAAAATGGACTTAATGAGTGAAGAGAACTTTCACATCTCTTCTGCAAACGACTTTAACCTCTGAAAGTCTGTCTCATGGATCTGGAAACTGTTGGCCTGATTTATCCCTAAGACAATCCTGGGGGCAAAAATAAGCATACTGCAAATTTTTATCTCTGAGCAAGAGCTCTGTAGGCATCTTAGAAACCTATCTAAGTTTCAATCAAAACTCTAGAAAGCAAAAATGAAGGTCTGGTTACGACGAGTATTACTTCAATCCACCTACTCTTCCTTTATCTTCCTTCATTTCCTGTCTAGAATGTTGCGAAGGTGAAGTATGTGATTTTTTAAAAAAAGGTAGTGGGGGGGGGGAGAGGGGGAAGGCTTGCTGAGTAGGGTCTATGTGTCTGCTCCTGCTATAAAGAGGTAAATCAAAACAGACGAGACTGCAGCAAATTTAATTATTAACATGAATTCAACTGAAATACATACAGCATTCTATCTGCAGCCTCCTCTCTTCCCACTTTACGTTAAGATTATCATTCCCCGAGTGGGAAAAACTTGATGAAATTGAGGTTGTTGGCCTAGACTAAAAAACAAAAAAACCCGAAGGTGGGGAATAGGTGGTTGCGTGAAGTACGTGATGGGGAATGATAATTTTTTTTTGAAGCCCTAACTAAATGTGGGAAGGTGGGATTTTTCCAGACATATGTAAACACACTAATGTAAAATGCATTACCGCTAATGGTAGAGAGAAAAGGTCTTAGAAGGAATGGAAGAGCCCCCAGAGGCTGCTTTTATGATGTTTTGCTTACAAACTTCACAAAGTAGCATGCCTAACGCTTGGCACTGGACAGGAGAGGAAGTTGTCTCTGCCCAGGTTTTTACCTGTGGACCTGGGCCCATCGGTCCCATTCCTCGAGGAGGATTCATCCTTTGCATCGGCCCACCCATGTTGGGATGCCCTAGTGAGAGAAACAGACAGGAAGATGTTATGGAGTATTACGGAGAAATAAACAAGGAGCAGAAGGAAAGGCCCATTGAAGGAATTTCTGAAGGGAGCCTCAACATATGTTACCTTGTTGCCGTGTAGGGTCCATGGAGTTGGGCAGCAATGGTTGTGTACCAGGAACACCTCCTGGAGGCTACGAAAGAGAGAAACAAAGCTGACAAAATCTAAATTATGGCTACCTAAAACAGTTAACACCCTGCTTTTCCTACATTAACTAGAGCTACAGATAGATAATACTTTATTTCTAGTCAGGATACCCCCATGCAAACAACAACAACAACAACCGTAGAACTTGTTTTCAATCAATAACATGTGGTATTGAAGTTAAATCATTGGATGCAAGGGCGAGTCCACTGCTTGAAATCCCCTGAGACTGGTATTGTTGAATGTGGGTGGATATGAATCTGAAACCTTTTGCAAGATGAAATTTTAAAAGCTGGGGTGAGGAAGTTGTGTCCCTTCAGCTACTGCTTAAATATGACCCTCAGCATGGCATAATTTGCCGGGCAATGTGAAGATGCTGCAAATTCAGCAACATTTAAATATCCACAAGTTCTCAAAAACCTTATTTATAGAGTGTAACACTGAGATCACCAAATTGGGCCTCAGTAAATGTATTTAACTAGTTCCATATTAATTTCTATTTTGGACTGAAGTGACTTCATAATATACATATCTATTTCACATGGAGATATGCAACCTGCATTTGGAGAAAATGCCCTTTCCTTGGGAACTCAAATATCAGTTAGTATGTACAGACGCTACTGATGAGCACATAGCAAAAACTATCACTCAGTTAAGAAAATCTGTCCAGTTATTAGTCTCCCTTCTAAAAGAAATTGGTTCTGTTCAGGAA